ACGTCTATAATTTTTGTTTACCTGTTTACATAACCATTCCAATTAATGATGGTATTTTTCAACAAATACTGATATAAAACCAGTGTCTACGTTTCCACAGGCGCATAACTGTTCCTAATTGCTTAATAAATATCCAATTTCTTACGAACTTAATCGACAGAAATTATTCTGTTTTGAATATTCAGCTAACCCTAATCATCTACAGAAAAAAAGAAAAATTCACTTTTGATCAATCTCTTGAGTTGTATGCGGGTTCACCCCGGGGGTTCTGACCGAAACACAAAGATTTTGGTTAGGATTACTATTTTTCAAAATATTTTAACCAAACCTCATTCTAGTCGTTGAATAGAAGAAGTGGCTCATTTAGAAGAAATACAGGATTAATGGGTATTTTGGCAGCACATAAATAATGAATATGTTATTGTATCGTATTTTATCGTTGAGCTGGTTGGTCTACATTATTTGGTCAAAAGTCCAATCCACATAATGATAACGGATTAATTTATTTCTTCAATAACGACTGGTACGTTCACTTTGACGTAACTTGTAGACCAAACAGTAATACACTAATAATGTTTAAAATAATTTTTTGATTTATAAAAGATGCTGACTAACCTACTAATTAACTTACAAAAGCATTAACTTTTACTCAGTAACTTTACTTAATCGATATTCTATCGATAAAAAACTATTCGATTCCTTTATTCAGATTACTTAAATGAATTCTCAATTACTGAACTAGCTGTTTCTTAATTACACATTACTCGTATTTATAACTAATGTACCAATCTAGATATTAGTCTAAGTTGCTAGATTCTTGACGTCATCGTGAACTTTCTGGGTATTCTAAGGCTACTTTTACGAATTTACTTGATCTTAACATCATACACCCTCTTTTTCTACCAAATATTTAAATTAAAATAATGAATATGTATCTTTCAGCTATATACATTTAGGCTTCAAATGTTATTTAACGTTTGAGTTAATTAGAAAAAAATATGCCAAGCAGTAAAAAAGAGGTCTCGAAATAAAATCCTGAATATTAACGGTTTAACTTTTTTTTCTTCTTCCTCGAATGGTGATATCTAAATATCAAAGCTTTTTAAGTTCATGTTTATTATTCATATGGTTCACTGAATAATTTCCGTAGAAAATTTTCGTAAATATTGTTCATAAGATGTAATTTTATAAGAATATTTAGTGAATTTCATTATAATTAAAGTTGCTTTTTTATTTCCTTAATTTCATACATATTGTTTTCTAATGAATAATTTACCCCAGCGGTAAGTCTTGAGACTTATATCGTGGTGCACACAGCACTAATAGTTCAGTGTGCGGATTTGTGTTTAATAATAAATAAACAAGTAAAACCAATGACTAATATTGACTCACTTTTTTAAAAATAAATTATCAAATTGTATTCTGATAAAAAAGATTAATAACAGATGGCGCTTCTATTTTCAATGTAGTTACTCTTTTCTTAATATGTGAAGGAAGCTTTAGTGACGAAGATTTTACTTCGCTTTGTTTTTACCATGCTGTTGCTTCTTGTATAAATAACATTTAAAATGTCAGAAGAGCAGCGAAAGAAATACAAGGCTATAAAGAGATGATGCTTTTCAATATCTTTGTTTTTACACTAGCCTTCGAAAGCCCTGTTATGATCTAAAAGATTTTGCTTCAATTATTCAATGTAATATATTTGCAAGTTTCGAAACTAAGTACTACGAATCTATAACAATAACAACAACAAAAAAACGTTTTTTTTTTAGAGTTCTGTGTTTTCCTTTCACTCTAGCATTAGTAACAATATAACCAATAGCGGATCTAGGATTTTGGAAATGGGGTGCGGTCGCCTGGATGGGCGCCATATAATTTTAGCATACATCATCTATATCGATGCAGCCAGATGATACATCAAACTTACATATAATATTATAAAGTATTGGTCTGTAGCTAAGAGACGCAAGAAACAAAATATTGTATTAAAAGGGGCACACTTTACAACGTAAGGGCGCTTCCACTCATAAGTTTATAGAGTGACTACAGTCATATACTTATTCAGAATTCGATTTGCTTATAACACTATGAGGCTAGAAAGGTGCTGAAGAATTTTCGTTCTTTGCTATAATACTTATATCATATACTACTCACTTTTCACTTTACTATTTATCGTTTCATCCCTGTATGTGATAGCAAAAAAGTGTAAAACTACACCTTTTAATTAACTGACATCCACACCACATCCAATTGATACTTCTTCTGATCTCCGCCGGATTGACATCTGCAGTTTACACCAAAACGAATATGGGTGACAGGAAGCGTCAGGTTGACTTTCTAAGCCTAATAAACACGATTGGTCATTAAAACCTCTACTTGAGTAGTTACAGTACACGAGAGATGACAAATAAGGTTTATCATCAAGATTGTTAGAGGATGGTGATGATCCATTGATTCACTGAAAATGTCTTTAGGAGAAGAAAAATCTTTATATTTCTACGTTTTACGTAGAAGTATTTTTAAAAAGGTAATTTTAGATTGGATGGTTGTAGACAGTTCTGAAAGACCCAGTATTACTGTTGCTGTTTTTTTTCAAACTACTGAACAAATTGCTTGAATACTGTAAGCATTGTAGTTCCTGGTTAAACTTAGGTGGAAAGCATTCTTAGAGTTAAACTATTGGTTATTGTGGATAATTCCAGTGTATTGTTTACAGAGATTGGTTATCCTTCCTACTCAAATATTACACTTAGAGACTGGTTTGGGTTGTTTGGAAGTTTCGCGCAAAGCTACACGAGGGTTATCTGCGCTAGCCGTCCCTAAATTAGTAGTGAAATACTAGAGGGAAGACAGCTAGTTATCATCACCCACCGCCAACTCTTGGGTTACTCTTTTACCAACGAATAGTGGGATTGACCGTCACATTATAATACTCCCACGGCTGAAAGGGCGAACATGTTTACGCTTAAAGAGACTGGTTATCCTTCCTATTCAAATATGACTTAAATAGGCTGCTTATTTATCTAAAAGGAACTTTATACATACAAAATAAGTTATTTCCGCCAAATTGGACATTAAACTGTTTCGCTAAATAGAAGCAGGAAATATAAAGTTATTTCATTGACAATTCTAAAATGAAGTCGGAGAACTTTTATCACAAACTAAGTCACGCGCACACACACAAGTTTAAAGAAGAACGACTTTATGGACTTTATCGTTCTTATTAACACGGAAATTTGAACATAAGAAACTTTTACGTCTTACCCTGATGTGCATCAGATATAAGTGAGAAACTGTAAACATAAGGTTGGTATGACGATTGTAGTAATGATAGGAATACTGAAATATATATATATTAATATCGAACATGATTATATATTAATTTTCACATATCAAATATAAAAATACTTAAAATCCTATTAAAATTGCTAAAAAACAAAGTTATTTTTATGGAAAACAATTGATCAGAAAGCAGGAAAAGGGGAGACATTAAAATGTAAGAATTTAAACATAAAAATATTGCAATGTCAGAAACAAGTGTACATGTAATACGTAAGCCGAAGTGGTAACTACAAGCATTAACACTTATATCTCTACGTATTTGAAAACAAAACAAAACATTTCTATAGCTTAGTGGTAAAGAATCAAGACAGTTTTTATAGTTTGTGTAGAAATCATACAAAACTGTAAATGTTCAGACGACAATGAGAAAATAAGAACATTTTTGTCATAATAATACAAACATTGTATGTTTCGTCGAATAAACACAAATCATCTAATATTGTACGTTTTGTCGAAGTAACAGAAATCATATAATATTATAAATCTCGAAGACGTAACACAAATTATATAATACTGTATGTTTCGACGAAGTAACACAAATCATATAATATTGTATATTTTGACGGAGTATCACGTATAATCTAATATTGTATGTTTTTTCAAACGAAGTAACACAATAATGTGTTTTATCGGAGTAATACAAATCATACAATATTGCGTTTTGTCGAAGTAACACAAATCATATGTTTTGTGTTTTGTCGAAGTAACACAAATAATCTAATATTGTATGTTTTATGGAAGTAACTGAAACCATATAATATTGTGTGTTTCG